TATCTTCTAGGAGCTTAGTTTCTGCTAGCAACAGTTAAATGAACTAGCATAAATTCTTCAGGAGAGCTACACATTAACCTTCTCAGATGTTAGAACAGTACTGGCTTGTAGCAGCTCGCCCCCCCCTTCCCGGTGTGGACCAGCCCCCCCCCCCCTCCCCCGCCACTGGTGAGGCAGGTGAGACATGGGTGTACATGACATGGGGGTTTACTTTGCCTTAAATTGAAGCGGTGTTTTTAAAAACCCACTGTTTCAATTTAAGGTGAAGTAAACCCCTGTTTTGTCTACACAGTCTGGCACCTATCAGTGTTGCCACTTTGCCTGACCAGAGGAGTCTCTGTAGAGCACCAGGAGATGGGATCCCTCTATCTGGGGGTTGAATCAGATGTTTCTGCATTACCCCCAGCTTTGGTCACCTGTCAAGCAAAAGCCAAGGGATCAACCTGGGTATCACTCACCGAAGTGCTCAGGGTCAATGATTCAACATGATCCTCCCCGCACTGTCTGCTACCAAAGTTAGATGATGCCTCCTGTGAAACCTATGGGGAATACTGCACAATGGAGTGCAACTTAATTGTCATTCATAGATTGCAGATCAAACTTCTGCAGCAGTGTAGTCATCTCTTCAGACCTCAGATTCTTTCAATGAGATCACATGCCATTTCTTTTAATCCATACTGATGAATATCATATTTTGTTCCTCCTATTGTAGTTAGCACCAGGTGGCACTATGTAGAACAAAACTATGACTTTACTTGAGTGAGAACAAAGCTTGTAGAAACTACTGCTGGCTATTGATCATTCTGTTCTTTACTAATGCCTCAGGTGTACACAATTATTCCCTCTATTTTACTTGTCTGCTACTGGAGGAAAGTTCATAAAGGGAAAATGTCATGTTTTTCTTTCTCAAGATGAAACATTAAATAATTTGATGCTAATTGTTACAGTTGTAACTTCCTCCCTAACCAGATATAAGATCCCTCAGCAATCTACTTCTGTATTAGGCACAGGGACAGCTTCTAATAATGAAGCAAGAGATGCCATTCTCCCTCTGTTTCCTATACAACCCTTCTCTAGCCTTACAATTCATTTTTTGTGTTTCTGGATTAGCTAAAGAATAAACGGTAAAATACAATAATGCATTAGGAATGCAGCTGTTATGTTTGTCTCTGAACTGTGCTCAACTTAAACTTGGCAATTTTTCTGGAGTCTGAAGTAGAAAATAGTCACTTTTGCAGCCATTTGCATAGAATTCAGCATTTCAGCCCCTCTCTTCATAAATTAATGTGAAGCCATTTTTGCTGCTCAAACGGTAAAGATATGGTAAAAGACTGGTCTGGGGTCTACATGTAAAAGCAAATGACAAGTGATCCTTGGTATAATATTAGAGGAAATGAGGGATCATGCTAAGTGGCTTTAATTACAGTTGAGTTATCCTGCCTTTTATCACGAGGGAAAACAAATACCAGGAAGGATCAGCTGATACCTTTTCTCTCAGTTCTGGGCTCATCATCAATCTCTCTCCTCATAGTTTAATCTGTGCAACACCTGATGACATGATATATTTTTATTGTCATGGGTTAAGGTTGATCTTATTAAACACTGAGGGTGGAGCCAAGAGTGAGTTATGACATTCTGTCCAAATGTGGAAATAAAATTTTGCAGTTCCCACCATCACATTGGGTTTTTTTTGTACCTTTTGGATTCAACCCAGAGGTATGTTTTTTGCTCTTTCACAGTTCCTGTGTGACTCCTCCCTTCATTTTTGAAACGTGTAGTTCATCTCCACAGACTTATTCAGGCAAAATCATAACTGAAGTTGACAAAGACTCTGAAATAAAAATAGAAGCAGTATTGATGGAGATAAATGACATGGGTAAAGGTGGTTCTTAACCACGCCCATAATTGAAGCACAATTCATTGTTGCATGCTTCACTCCATAAACAAAAGGTTTATTTAAATGGGATGAGATGTGACGTCTCCTCAGTACAAGCCCTAGGAAATGAAGAAATAACAAGTAAGGGCTCCTCTTATCCCACAGGGTCAATACCCACAGGACACATTTCCACTGACAGACTGTTGGCATTTACTTCTATCATCTGTGGATAAGGAAACTTCATTCACCATGTTAATCTTCCTTGCAGTATAACAACGCTTCATTTGCGTCCTCATACTTTCCCCACAGAGACATAACATATGTCAAGCCTGGATGTTTGCTGGTGCTGCCAAAATTGTAATTAAAGCTTTGCATTGTACCATAAGGGAAATGAATGTTCTGTGCATTTGAAGGCATCCCATCACTCATCCCCTGCTTTGCAAGAGATTGTCTGGGGGAGGTCACACTTAAGCTATAGGCTGTGAGGATATAGAGAGCAGGTGTGTCTGAGGTGAAGAAAGTTGGCAAGCAGGGTGGGAGGAAAAGGGTCAGCTAATTCCATGCATGTGGAGGCCAGTTTATCTCTAACTCCAGGAGAAGAGTGCCTGTGTTCCTGGTGTGGTGATTTCCTATCAGGTCCTACAGCAGAGCCTCTCTCAAAGCCATTGAGTTGCTCATTCTTAGGACCAACATGGGATTTTATTAGCTTTTCTCTTGCAAGATCGCCAGCTGCTCCTTTTTAACTAAGCCAGGGTTCATGGCACAATCAGTCCTGTGCTTCACTATGGGGCACAGGCCATGGCCATGGCACTCTCTTTGCTGAGGGGTGGCCTCTTTTCAGAGAGACTCAGCAAAAACTTGTAAGTACATTACATTTCTGCTGACTATCGCTCTCAGTTAGAAGGTAAGTGGGAGACTGATGGGGTGTGCGAAGCAGGCCCTATTTGATTCAGATTTGGATTTGGCCCGAATCGGGGACAGTGATTTGATTCATTGATTTGGATCACTGTCCCTGATTCGATTCAGCTGAATCCAAATCTGAAGATTTGATGCTGATTTGGAGAATCAGCGATTCAGACATAGATGCAGCTTTAAAAGTTTTTTCTACATATCTCAAGGTACCAGGCATGGCTTGTGAATGCTGAGATGGTGGGGCAGATTGAGCATCCCACAGGAGTGCGGGGAGGACCTCCACATGCTTGGCGGTGAACCCAGAAGTGGATGGGAAGTACTTCTGGTCCACTTCCGGGTCTCCTGGGGAGTGCACTGGGGGGGCCTCCGCACCTCCGCAGCTTGGAGATTGGCTGCAGGGGGACCCCGGGTGCCCCCAGTAGACCTAGGAGGCACCTGTCATCGAGTCAGGGAAGCACGGGGGGGCCCCCTAGCACACTCCCTGAAGGACCCAGAAGTGGATGGGAAGTGCTTCTGCTCCACTTCCAGGTCCGCTGCCAAGTGTGCTGGGGAGCCCCCCGTGCTTCTGTGGGACACTCCATGTGCTCCAGCATCGCAGCACTCATGAGCTACCTAGAGGTATATAGAAAAAACACTTAAAGATGTCTCTATGTCTGAATTTCTGAATCTTTCTGAATCTCTCCAAATCAATTTGGAGGGTTCTGATTCGATTTGGAGAAATTAAAGGGTTTTGATTTTGATTCAGAGATTCAGCTACCAAATTGGGCCAAATCTCCACCAATTCAAATCAGGAACTGAAGCTTCGCACAGCCCTAGAGACTGATTTTTCCATGAAAGTATTGTGTCTCCTAGTGAAAGCTCTACAGGATGGGGAGCCGAATGAATGAATGAATGAATGAATGAAGACAAATTTATTATTGCAACATAAATTAAATCACACTTAAATAATGATTAATTTGTCATTTTCGTCTAGGTGTGGTGGATGTTTTACAATGCTGGCTATGAGAGTAAGGTCCTAATATTGCAAGGGGCAGACTCATTTGCAGGGTCTGGTGATAGGTTACTGTTTAATGCAAAATGCATGAACAGTGGTGGGAATAGGGATCAGAACACAGGACTCATCATTCCCAGGTGAGGGCCCTAACCCATCATACTGCCTCTAGTGTTTTCTCTTTCTCACCACAAGAATTTTTTTTTTTTTCTGCACAGTGGTCCAACCTCAACAGGGAGTGGTAAAGTGCCCCTGACAAGTGTAAGCCATAGCCTGATGGTTAGGGCACTCTTCTGGGAAGTGGAAAAAATGAGATTGAACTCAATACTGAGGCTGGCTTAGACCCCAGGTTTCCCACTTCCTGGGTGAGTGCATGAAGTTGGGTGGTGGCACCACTATCAGCTGTGCTTTAAAAAGTAAACAATGAGTCCTGCTTCATCCTTTTGGGAAAAAAAAATAAAAATAAAGGTAAGTGTCCTTTTAGGATACCTTTTAGGAAAAGGCTACGTGGTCTAGATCCTGAGTACTGTTGGCACTTGTCTGCAGCCCTGATTGAGATATCTAATCTCCAGAGAGGGAGTTCAGACACACCCCTGCGCTTAGCATTGCCTATTGGCAGGGCCAGATTAATGCGTAGACAAACTAGGCACATGCTAAGGGCCCTAAATGAAGGGACCCAGTTGTACTTATTTTACATATTATAATTATTGAGTGAAAAAAGTAGGGGCCCACAAGTTTCTTTGCCTAGGGTCTACTAAAGGGTTAGTCCAGCCCTGCCTGTTGGCCAGCAGTAGGCAGTGTGCAGGGTTTTCAGTCTCATTCTGAAGTCCTTAGTATTTTCTATACACTGTACAGGGAGACTAAGCACTTCCCTCTGGGTTTTGGATTCCACTTCAGAAACCAGGTGCTTAAACATTAAATGTTGCAGCATCTATCTTGTAGCTGCCCAAGCCTTGTTTGGATATAGCCCTAGATCATGGTGCATATACACAGAGGGGTTGAGTTAAGCTTGAATGATGAGAAGATGCATTTTGTATTTCTTAACTTAAATCCTTGACTTAACTTCCACAAATGACAGTGTTCCATTAAACTATTTTGTGTGTAATATCCAGACAGTTCAAAAGAACTTTTTCCATAAGTCGGTGTTATAGGGTGCAGTGCAAGTGGTGTGTCCTCACTACCCAAATAGGTGATGCCAGATTGCATTGCTTCTTTTAACAGGGTCTCAGTGAAACTACTGTAAGAAAGCCTGCCAGAGAAACGGAAGAGGAGAATACCTCTGAGAAGGCAAAATGCTACAATGAAGTGCCGAGCCAGCTGGAGGTGAGAGGATCCTCTTATTTTGCACTGATAACTTGCTTTCATTCATAGCAGTCAGAGTTTCTCAAGCTTTCCTAACAAACTGGAGGCCACAAACAGAACACTAAAGGAAGAGGAGGATGAGGTGGTGCTGCCCACCCCTCTCCTGATGCAATGCCTTAATGGTTTGAGCATTTGCCCAGTAGGAGGGAGGGGTGGGTTAAATCCTAAATCCTAAATTATTGTCCTGATTGCAATGATACAGACTGTTCTGAGGGTGGATTACTTCTATTCCTTCCTATTGAAACTTTGGCCAGGTACCATCTTGGCCATCCAAACTGAGGGATAAGGACCTGTCCAGCCTGTGTGCTCTACAGCAGCGGTTCTCAACCTTTTGCACCTTGTGTCCCACCAACCATTTTTTCAAAAAACCCTGGTCCCACCATGGTAAAAACAAAATCCCACAAAATTGCACTGTTCAAGATATTTGTTGATTCATCTATTTGAAGTGCAAACAACTGATTTTTTTTCAATTGGGCAATGAGTTGAAATCCCCCTATACAACCTTCAAGTCCCACCAGAGTTAGCAGGTCTCTTTGGACGGGTCCCTGCCAGGCTGGGGAGGACACATGGCATTGCCCATTGGCAGGGATGAAGAAGAGGAGAGAGGGTTTTTCATTTGTGGTGTAGGGGTTTCTTGAATTTAACATGGTGTTGGTTTGTGGAAGAAAGAGTTTTATGCATTTTAGGTGATAGCCATAGACCATATAGGAATCTCCCCTGGGTGTGAGGCGGGGGAGTGGATGGGTAGCTGGGAGGGAATGAGTGAAAAGAGGTTTTGTATACATGGAGGTTTTATATACATGGGAGTTGGGAAGTACAGTTGGAATGGGTCAGAGGGTTTGCTTTCCTGAGTAGTAGGTGTTGGGCAGGGAAGTTGGAGTGGCTGCGGTGGAATTTTCAAGTCTTAGGATGTCATCTGGGGAGTCTGTTTCTTACCTTGTGGATTGCCTGTTGTTGTAAGCAGCTCTGAGCATTTCTGGGTAGAGTGGAATGACAATGATAACAATAGACTAACTAAAGGTTCATGGAGGAGGAGTGGGGGGAGAGAGATGGCATGCTTCTTTACCTTAATGATTCAAGAGCTGGTCATGTGTTTTATATTAAATAGACATACTGAAATGGTAATTGGAGCAGTTTGAAACTTAGACCTCTTTCTTTCCTGGTGAGTGCCATTGGACTACAGTCCTGCTCATGCCATCTGGTCCAAATGAATCTTGAATTTTTTTATGCCACGGGTGACAAGCTTATAGGCCACAAATCAGATCCAGCCTGCAAAGCTGATCATGTGACCCACAGGACTCATACAGGGTCTGGGAATTTGGGAGTGGAACAAGTAGTGGCCAGTCCTTAAATCTAGGGCACAAGAGTCTGCTGGGGACCCATGTTAGCAGCAGAGGGGCAAACAACAGCTGTGTAAACACCTACATTCACCAATAATACTTGCCTTACCACTGCCTGCCCTATTAGTGCCACATCCATATCCAGCCTCCGAAGAGCATCATGGTCTAGATATGGGGGGCTAGGGTGAGTTTGACACCCCTGTTTTATGCAATGTGAAACCATTTCACCGGGATGATTTGAAAGTGCTCTGAGAAGTCTGTAGCCTGGTGGTTAAGATACTGCAGGGATGTGAGGGAGGGAAAGGTTTGCCTTCCCTTGTGAAAAAGTGTAACTCTTTCATCTTGGATGCATGTTCTAACCAATGAGCTATTGCATAACAGGATGTGTATGGCTGCTCCTGATTTAAAAGAAGGAAATGCCTGGCTCCAACTTTTGTAACCTTTAATATTAACTACTTTAACTGGGATCTCCTCTTCATTTGAGCTCCTTTCTCCTCATTTTTCCAGAGTCATAAAACATGTTGACATCAACTTATTTTCCTTGTTCTCTTCTATCCATTCTGACTGCTGTCTCATCATTGCTGCCAAAAGTACCTTGACAGACATAACTGGAATCAAAGTTCTTACCATCAGTTACTTCTGTAGTTACATCTGTAGGTGTTACTGTAAGAGTTACTTCTGTCTATACCGCTCGATTACAATATCAGACAGCACCATATTGTGATGCAGTGTGCTCCCTCTGCACACATTTGTCCTGAACTAGAAGTAGTGCAACTGCTTCATTGCAGTGCTCTTGCACACTGGATGTGCACAACACCACTCTACAACAGCTACATAACTTCTAGTTTGGAAGTTGCTTGGGCAAAGCAAATGAGGTGTGTCTCCACATAGTGCTGATTGGCACTGTAATTTGAGGGGTAGAAACATACCTTCAGTTACAATATAATGAATATTGTTCTCTTCTAAAGATATTTATTACATAAGCAAAATTACAATGAAAAAAATGTATGTCTGAGGTTCTAAAATGTATCTCTGAGCATCTTTCTGATGCAGATTTTTTTTCCTCTGATAGGATCAGACTTCGCTTTTCCCCAAACCTGTGCTTCCATGACTCTACTTAGCTTTATTAAAAATTGCTCCATCTCTAGTTGAAACTGAATTATGGGAGGAATCTTGAATTGTTTATAAAGGAACTACTTTGTGGGCCTTTTCTATCTGCCTGTTTTGTGCGGGGTTCTGAGGGAGGGTTAAATTCAGAGGAAGCCCAATTTGGAATATAATTAAAAATGAAAAAGAAACCTTTTAACTCAATTCTAAGTAAGATTCAAACCAAAGTTTGCTGGCCATTTACTGTAGGTTGCCTGCTTGCCAGCACATAGCAATTAAAGGTGATTAATATGCAGTTTCTTCATTCCAGGGAAATTTAAGCCTCATATAATTATCTCTGGCAGTTTAATGCATGTGAGATATTTTGCTGAACTCTTGCTGTTTCAGCCAGAAGATGTATAAGTGTATCCCCTTCTATATATTCTCATAATAATTGTGTCAGAGAATGCTCTGTAGATATTTGCCTCTGGAAAGTCAGAAGGGCAAAATGTCTTTTATCTTTTCTCTTTGGAAGACAACCATTAGGTAAACACACTGAAGATTAAGCTATCCTGCCTATTCACTAGAAAGTTAAGCAGTAGAATAAACTGGTGTTTATGCAAAATCAGTAATCCAAGACTCCCAGCTCAAAGTCAGTTGCTTACTTATGAACATTCTCAAATGTGTGGGTTTTTTTTTTCTGAAATAAAATCTTTACTGCTTGCTTTTAATGCACAAGATGATTAATCTTTTCTTTGTTTAACAAGTTTAGCAAGGGCTTGGGAGGATATGAAGAGTAATGCTAAACTACTGCAACTTCCTTCACCTGAAGGGAAAGATCCTGTCTTAAATTATCTGCAGATAACGCAACCTTGTGAGACAGAAATGTTCATGTGCTCTGAGGCTCATTGTAAGGTCCTCTTGGACAAAGTGAATATATGGTGCTTCTAACATTAAGAAGGAATAATTAAGGCAGGAGAATCTTAAACATGACTTGCAACTCTTACAAAAACATCAAAAAGACTATAAATACTAGATCAAATTTTCAAATGAGTGCCTAGAGGTAGACTAAAAAATAAGGGCTGAATTATTATGTCTCTTTCACCTGGATTTAGGCATTCATGTTTGAAAATGTTGGCCAATGCTTATGTTTTGTTTCCTTGTGAACTTTAAAACCAATCTAGCTGGTGTGCCTACAAGGAGTGAATGAACTGTTGGTCCGAAACCATTGTATATGCCAGATATTACTGTACATTATCCAAGTAATTTACTTCCATTCTAGATTTATGGTCTAAACATTTAGGACATCCAAAGTAAATAGATTTTTCTGTGGATGATTTGGGCTTCTAGAGAGAATCTTGAGATGTTTCTTTGTATGGTGAAGCAATCTTTTCTCCTCCAATTTTTTGGATAGAAGAATTGGTTCAAAAGGCAAAGATCACTACTGCACTGTGGTCCACAATAAGGTAAGAGTGTTGTAGAAATAATTTCTGTAGTTGATGGATGTCCAACTTATCAGGAAAGATCCTTTCAAAGCTGCAAGAGAAGAAAAACAAATTAAGAGCAATTTTGAACCCTTTCCAAATAGTTGAAATGTATTAGATAAAGTTGATGGTCTATAAATAATTTAATGTGCCTGGAAGTGTTGGGTAAAACCAGAGATTTGATCATGAATGTTTAGTGTGTAACATTCTGTATAACATAAAAGAGTTATTGCCTGTCATCTTGATCCTACCAATTGCTGCCTGTATAGTACTGAACACACTACCTCCATTGATTTGCAGTAACTAGATGATTGGGGGAATCCATCACTTTACAAATGAGAGGCTCAAGCAATAGCTGGCTTAAAGAACCGGAACAAGTGAAATGTACAGTACAAGTGGATGGATAATTCAAAGGGCCATGGAGGAAGCTAGATAACTTTCAAACAATCATTCCTCTAAAGGCCTATTGGAGTAAGTCATCCATGTGACACCCATGCAGCTTCAGGAATTGAACCTGGATCTGTGGGTCCAGAAACATAAAACTACTACCTGAGTCAGGAAGCTAGGCCTGTTGGTGTGAAGACAGGAGTATAATCCAGTGATCTAACTATTTGAGAGGGGATTAAATGCCGCACTGTTCTCATGGGATGCACAGTTCTGTGCACTAGCAGAAAAGATGACAGGGATTTAGAAACTCTAGAGTAGGCCCATTCTTCTTCACCTAGATATAGAAGGTGTGTTAAGTAGAGTTAGCCAAATTCAGGGACAATCCTGGTAAAGATCTAGCAAACAGTATCTTCACACAAGTCAGTAGACTGAGGAAGAAGCTGGATTGTCCATAGGAGAAAATTATGACTGCCTTCTCCTTTAAGGGGTAAATCCTTATGTTGGCAACCTGAATGGTGAACTCACTGTTTTTCTACTGGATAGGAACCCTTGATCAGCTTGCAAATCAAACCAGCCTTCTACATTTGAAATGGAGGCTTTAGATATGTCTTTCTTTTTGTAATGAAACATTTTTATGAAAAAATATCATTTACCATAGAATCAT